ATCAATGACACTCTCACGATCTGCACGGGATGCTATTGATGATCAAGGGGGTTGTGCCACAAATTTGCATGACTCTGAATTGGAAGGTTAGAGCCACTGTAAAGGAAGATTTTGAAGAGAAAGCATCAGATTATCAGTGGTTGAAGTCGTTTATTAAACAGAGACCATGCGCCGTCTAACACAGGAGGAGAGGTTACGTGCCCTTGGCATGCTACAGGTTGGCACAAGACAGGTCGTTGTGGCAAGGGCAATGAATGTTTCCCAGTCTGTCATCAGCAGATTATGATCCAGACATCGTGCTACAGGGTCTGTTCAGGATAGACCACGATCCGGTCGACCAAGGGCAACAACTCAGGCTCAGGGCAGATTCATCCGCACTATTGTCTTGAGAAATCGTATGGTAACAGCAAATCAGATAAGGTCTCAACTTCAAAGGGATACTGGCTTGGTAGTGAGTGGCCAGACCATCAGGAATCGTCTGCACAGATTTCACTTACACGCCCGACGTCCTCGTGTCATTCCCTGTTTGAGGGATTGTCACATTAGGGCCAGACTCCAATGGTGTCGTCATCATCAACGCTGGGATAATCGCCGATGGAACAACGTAATGTTTTCAGATGAGTCGAGGTTCACTGTGGACTTCCTTGACAGACGCAGGAGGGTTTGGCGCCCGGCGTAACGAACGTTTCCATGACGTTAACGTCGTCATTAGACATGATCCGTATGGGGGTGGATCTGTAATGGTGTGGGGAGGCATCACTGCTGCCGGCAGAACAGACTTGCATGTTGTTGCTGGGCGTGTCACAGGGCAGTACTACCGGGACAACATCTTGGCACCCCATGTTGTGCCGTTTGCACGTCGTTATGGCCGCCCGTTTCATTTTCCAAGATGACAATGCCAGATGTCATAGGGCCAGGATCGTTACAGATTACCTCCAGCAGCAGAATATCACCACATTACCATGGCCAGCACTCAGTCCGGACCTTTCCCCCGAGCATGTCTGGGACATGCTTGGACAGCGGCTACGCCAACGTCAACAACCTCCTGCCAATGTCCAAGAACTTGCTGCAGCATTGCAACAGGAATGGAATAACGTTCCCCAAAATGACCTGGGGCGTCTCGTTAGGAGTATGCCACCCGAATTCGAGCTTGTCTAGCCAACCCCGAGGGGTGGTTTTGCTGTGTGACCCTGTGTTTGTGTCGACTATTCTGGACTCTGTCCTTTCACAATGGTTTCGGTAAATTGAAAATTTGCTTTGTTTCCTGACCCTGTGTTTGTGTCGAATAGTATATATTTGTCCCTTCTGTATGCTGCTTTTTTTTTTTATTTTTAAATGTGTATTTGCATTTGTTTTTTTTTTTTCTTCATGCCACTTGCCATTTCTGTTAAGTTATATTTCGACATAGTACAATTCTGTATTTTTTACTAAAATTATTCTTTATTGTATTACTGGCACTCATTGTGGGCAGCAAAGTAAGAATTTCATTGGGCAGGGAAACTCGTTTCTTTCTGTGCTCATGACAGTTGAGACTTGAGACTTAAAGGGGTTTTCCTTTCAACTAATGATGCCGCTGGCTCAGCAGAGAGGCTGCCAGCTGCCAGCTGCCTTAGAACATCCGAAAGATGAGCTGCGTCGGTCACGTAGGGAGTTAAAACAAACTTAAACCATCCCTACACCTAGTTTAAAAATGTGGAGATAGCTAGACCACATTTAGATCAAGGGGTAAGTTAAACTGCACATCAGAAAGTGAATCTTAGAATCCAGGTTTACGTATCGATAGAATCAGTAATACGATTCACTTAAAGCATACTTAGAGCAGGGTCTAAGTTAAACCACTCTAGGACCTGACCTCAGAATACAGGCCAAGGAATCTTTCAAAATGTAAATACAAAACCAAAACTATAGAAAGCACAATGGCTCGCATTTTGAAGTCAGGTCTAAGTGTGGTTTAAGTGAAGTTTATCGATTCTATCAATACCTAATATGCTGTCCATCTGATCTCTTATGTTTTGTTGCACTATATGTATATACTATTTAACGTGTCTTCCAATTTTTGTTTTACCTTGGACTTTGTTTTATATGGAATTAATAAATTGGAATAGATACCACCTAATTGTTGTGGTCTCGCTAATAAACAAATTTTTCACTTCCCTGGGATTGGTCAGGTTACACAGATTACCAGCACCTGTGCCTCTACCTACAGTTAAACTAGTAGACTAATTAACTAATTGCATGCACCAACTGTAAAATCCATGAAGTTTCCATTTTTATTCATACACACAACACCTGACATTTCCAGTCGGTGACACCTACCAGAAGTAGCAACACAGTTTCAGTTAAGAATGTCTGGTATATTTCATTTTAAAAAGGGCTGTATTTGGAAAATGGGTTTATTTTCCCTAAAAGTTTTGTGAGTATTAGGGTACTCATATGAAACACTTTAACCCCTTTGCGCAGATATAGACGCCGGTGTCCATTAATTCAAAATCTAAATAATTCTGGAATTGAATTTCCACATTTTGTGACACAAATACTGAGTTATAAAACTTAAATAGGCTCATGCACAATGGGAAAAATTGGCATTATTTGTATTCTGTGCAAAGGGGTTAACCAGAAAATTAGAAACAATATCTGAAACCTTTGTGTGTAATGGTGCGTTCAGGAACGACACGCAAGTACCAAAATTCCAAAAATTGTAAGCCTTTATTACAAAATGGGTCAAAATCAGAACACAGGAATTGCCAAGCCAAAGTCAAAATCCAAAAACAAAGTCGATAAACAGGCAGGGGTCGAAACCAGAGAGGCAGATGTGCAACGGTACATGAAACAGTAATCCAAAATTCGTGGTCAAAAATCCAGAAGGTAAGGTCATACACAGGGCGTCAATAACAAGAATCGTGGTCGTACAGAAAAAGGGTCAGAATCCCAAAAGTAGCAAACAAGAGCAAGAGGGGGCAAGGCAATCCCAAGGTTGTACAAAAAATGTCATAGTTAGAAACAATAATCTAAAGGCATACGAGGCTCTCTGCACTAGTGAAAATTGATCAACGTTCTGACAAGGAAAAAGCTGAAGTGAAGTCCTTAAATAGACAAGAGGGAGGCCACATGCTATGCAGGACCAGGTGAATTGGATAAGAACTAATTACAAAGGGAAATACACATGGGGAAGTCCTAAACACAATAATTGGCAATCGCCAAGACATGGACAGGATTCACATAGACAACCTATGACAGATAAACGGCTCCAGTCAAGGAGTTCTACGTGCACAGATCACAGAGTGCAGGATAGCAATTAAGCACGTGTGAAAGATTTCACGGAAACACAGGGAGATGCAGGTAAAGTAAAGCAAGGGGCGGAGACCAGAACAAGGCGAGTGCTGAGATTGCGTTAGCAGTAATTAGTAGCGGTGCAACTTTACAAATTAACCCAAGTGCTTGTTAGTTAGTTAGTAGTATGTACATGGGTTAATTAGGTTAGTAAGTATAATACAAAGTATAAATGTTAGTATTATTTGTAATCAAGGAAAGCAGAGCGAAGGAGGTAAACGAGAATTGAAGTAATAATGTGAAACACCAGAAACCACTGAAATCACCCGCAGCGTGTAGGCACGCAGACTGGGAGAACGGACTGTACCATACAGATCACAAGACAGGGGTGACAATGGTGCAATGAATACAGAAATGGCATAAACAGGAAAACCAGGATGTACAAAAAGCAAAATCAATAAATAAAAGACATGGGCAAAACCCTGAATCAAGACATTGTGTGTGACTTTTAAGGAAATTAAAAGACAGAAAAAGTATTTTTTTACCCCATACCATAGGACGATGTCACGTATATATTCTGTATCTGCTGGTTGCAGCACCTCTCTGAGGCTACATCACACTTGTGCCAGGGGAAATATTCAAACTCAGGACACCATGTTTTTATGGCAACAGCTTTACATCAAATGGAAAATATCCAGATTTTGTAAATCATTTTATACACATTTCCCTATAATTCGGCAGAACATATTTGGGATTGTTGAAAACCTTGGGATCTCTGCCAGAATTTAAAATAGGCCTGAAGTTCCACAGGTTTGAATTCAGCAGTTGCCATATACATATGATATGGGTCCATAGGTTTTATGGGGTGAGAAGATGCTTAGGATGGTGGTAAACAGTTGAGGACTGTGTCAACTTTCTTGGATTTCTTTTCAGTCATCACAGTGTATAAATGATGTTTTGTACTGTTTTCAGTACAGCAGAGGGTGAATAGAATAAGTCAATCATTTTATGTTCTTACTTTTCAGGATGTGCCAATTTTTTTTTTCAGAATTGGGGTTGCATATTAATGGCCAAATTTCACAGTACACAGCCAGAGCCACCTTCATGGTGTGCTGTATTCCACAATGCAACTAGATTAATGGTAAAATACCACCATGTCCAGGTAATTTCAATAACTTGGCAGTCATGTGACTTTGCAGAACCCAACATAGTTCTTTTCATAAACAAGCTGATACGATACAATAATACAATAATATGAAGAGTAGCATCCCATACGGAAAGAAAAAACATTTGAGATACATTTAGAATATACAATTCAAAATGCATTTTAAAATGCAGTTCAAATATGCATAAAATGACCGCTTCATACATTTTAATAAATATATTCCAAATATAATATTAATTCTTGAAATGAAATACATTTATTATATTATTATATTATTATATTATAAATAAATTTCTAATAGATTTTCCCATTGGGATGAACATATTTTTGAGATATATTTAGAATATACTTCAGAAGGCATTACAAAATGCATTTCAAATGTGTAAAAGCTGTTTCATATACTGGACTACACTTACAGTATATAGCACTTTTCTCATCACAGGACACAAAGCACTTTACAATTTAGCCTCACATTCGCCCTGATGGCGAAGGCTGCCACACAAGGTGCCAACCTGCACAACAGGAGCAGTGTGTGTCTTGCTCGAGGACACTTCAACATGTTTTCTGGAGGAACCGGGGATCGAACCAGGAACCGTCTGATTCCTAAACCACCTGCTCTACCTCCTGAGCCATGCCACCTCATATATTTCAAGTGCATTTCAATTGCATTTTAGAAAAACACAAATAGAGGTCTCAGTCACAGTAAACATTGGAAGAACCCCTCCACTTCAAAAATGCTTTTCTTCTTGTTCCTACAGTTGAATGTTTGAGCTTCACTGTGTAGAATAATGTATGTGCAGAGTTTGTCTTTTCGCATTCATCTGCTGAAAGTGTTAAGTTTATCAGAGCTCATTAAATATCCAGTTTAAAGAGGCAGTTTCATAAGCAGATGTGTGACATCACAAATCCTTTGGAGCCAATCCTGAGACAACATTCAACTTAATAACAGAAATGTGATGTAGAAACTTGAAGCCTCTAATGCACAAACACCGGGAATGTACTTTTCAGTAAAGTAGATACATCTCTTGTGAAGTGGCTAAACTTGAAATGACAAATATGCATAGATTCAGCATTTTTAATGAGGGAGAAGGAGCAGATGTCATTCTAAGGATTTTCAGAAGAAAATTGAACTTTTTGTGGAAAAACAAGATCAGAAACACATCACAAGTTAAAAAAAAATTATTTTACATACAGTACAGCTTAAATGTGTTGTGGTGATGACAACTCCCATCCACCGGCTCTCCAGGTAGCGGATAGGGGAACGGCCTCTAGATATAGATTCTAGCTGCGAATATGCTGAATAAGCAGTGTTGGAAAAAATCACAGGGTGCCCTTTGGCAAGGCATAGTACCCGAAAGCCACCCGAGCAGGGATACGCGAAGAAGGCATCGGCAGCAGGATGCTGGATTTAGATGAAAGCAATGTCGAAAATAACTGATCTCTGGTTTCAATCTAAGAGGGTGGCCTGCAGAGGATCTCAAAGGGACAATGGAGTCGACCCAACCATTCCTCGTCAGATGGAAACTGCGACTGCAGGAGGAGTAACGACCCCTGACAGTTAACAGCAACAGAAACGCCAATATGCATGTCAAATCCAAAGCTCCTAGGGGCGGCCCTAGTACATCTCGACTAAGCGATGCTCATAGCTCAAACAATGTTAGAGCAGGTGATGACCGCGTATCTCTAAATCTGGAAGGACGGGATAAGCGTGATGAGGGCAAAGCAAAGATGAAACTGCTGAGCTGCGAGCAGTATACTAATGTAGCAACAATGAAGGTCAGAACCATTCGCCTAAAAAGCAAAAGACAACTCTGGAACCAGAGAATATTGCTGGCTCACTTCAATGGAAATCCAGCTGTAACAGTAATAGTGCACTATGCATCTGTTGAAGGAAGCAATGATGCAGAAGAGCATTACAACAACTTAATCGCTGCTGCCCAAGACGTACCAAAGCACAACCTATTGATGGTAGTAAGAGATTTCAATGCTCATTTTGGTATGGACGTACGGAAATTCACATTTCATAAACACACAAACAAGAATGGAGAACTAATGAAAGACTATGTTGAGGAGACTGGACTGATAATAGCTAATACGAGATTTCAGAGGAAACCTGGTAAGCTTTGGACATTCATATCAGATATGTCTGATACAAATCTCAACTAGACTTCATTCTGGTAAATAAGAAATGGAAGAATTCTTTGAAGAACTGTGAGGGATATATCACCTTTAGCAGCATGGGTCCTGACCACCAGATATTATCAGCAAAAATGAAGCTAAGCTTACAAACATGTCGAGCACCAGCACGTAAACCCAACTACGACTGGAGTACACTGCAAGACGTGACACTTAGTGACTTGTATTCTGTGTCAGTCAGAAACAAATACGAAGCACTATGTTAAGATGGGGAATCAATCACTGAAACCTATGCACACTTGATCACTGCAAACGAAGAGGGTGCAAAAGTACACTTACCAGTGAAGAAGAAAGTAAAGAGGAAACCAGCATCAGAGGACCCTCAGGTGGAAAAAGCTAGAAGCAAGGTACACTGCAAAATATGAAAAGAAAAAATATTAGGTAAGATGAATTTACTTATTTTAAGACTTAAAACACTTATTTCTATCACCATTTTTCTTAGTAAGACAAAGAATTTGTCCTTAATTTAAGGTTATTTTGACTAGCTTGCCAATGGGGTAAGGAAATTTTCACTTGTCAAGCAAATAGTGACTTAAAACAAGTTACTTTTTGCTTGACAAGTGAAAATGTACTTATCCCATTGGCAAGATAGTCAAAATAACCTCAAATCAAGGACAAATTTTTTTGTGTTAATAAGAAAAATGGTGATTGTGAGAAAGCCACATACAAGCATTGACTGTATAAAACATGGACGTAGCCTCCGTGACGTCACCCATAGGTTTCTGAATATCTATTTTGAGGCAAATTTGGTTGCCATCTTGGCACTTACGTGACTCCGCCTACCTCCCGGATAATCCAAAAATGGGCAAAAAGGCGGGCCGTTGCTGGAGCTGACGCAAGCCCAGTGGGCGGGCCGAATGGAGCTTGTTTGCTGAAACACGCCCTCTAAGCTCGCACCTACCCAGCTAGCTTCGGCTTCCATACTCGAATAAAGATCAAACTCAGCTCGATGCTACCTGGTTCGCTAAGGCCGAGATGCGGGGTCATATCTGTCCCAGTAAAGCAACGGATCCTGCCAAGTAGCTTGCGGAGGCGGGTTGAACGCTGTTTATATTCGTGAAGCGGTTGCGGGACGAAAGTTGTTCGTATCCGTGAGGCAGTAGCGCGACGAACGCTGTACACCGCTAGGAAGATGCGGCGGTTGGCTCACTGAGTATCAGTATCCCCCCAGAGTGCGAGCGGGTGCTCATCTTAGCTCTTGTACGCACCTTAGCCCGGTCCCATTAATGGTAGTATGGCCAGCCAAACGATAACATTGGCCTACGTAACCTCACTGACAAACCTGACGGACCTTTATTTTCCTACCTCACACTCGCACATTTTGATATGAAGTACTACCACCCTACATTTTGACTTCGGTGAATGCTGAATTAATTGGTTACTGTAGCCAGCATACGTGGGCTCATCAATACTAACACAGTTGGGCGTCTGGCTCAAAGGCTCCATGGTTATTTCATCTGCTGCCCAGCTTATCTCTGTCCTTTTTATTAGCTAACGATACCACTGCGACGCGCAACTTTTTTTTTATCGCGTCTTAAAATTGATGTTACTTTCGGGAAAAAGCCCTTACTCCTTGCGACAGCTAATATAGCCGAACGCGGCTGGTTAGTAGTACTTTTTCGTTGCCGTCTGGCTTAGTTACGTTAATGTGGTTAGCTAGTTTGTGGATGATGGACTTCATGTAAAAAACACTTTTAGCGACAGCTAGCTAGTTTGCTAGATAACATGGGATATGTTAAATTAGCTATATAGCTAGCTAGCTAGCCTTTCTATTTACAATGAGACTGTTCAGTAATCGCACTGAAAATTGAACGAATCCATTGGTGACAAATGCAGTTCTATAAGATACTGCTGTGTGAATCTACTGAGTGTATAACTACGGCAATCTCCAGTCAAAAACTTTTGTTCAAAAGTATGTTAACCCTAAATTCAAACACTTTTCTGTTTCGCTATTACTTCGCTGCATGCCCGTATAATAACTATGGCAGGCGTACACTCCCGCTGGCACAGCTGGACATCTTGGGCAAAAACTAACCCTGGGGGGTTATTGTATTAATTCTCTGGCTAGTTAGCTAGAGAACAAACTAACGTTACTTTGCGTTGACATATAATGTTATATGAAATAATATTAGAATTTCATCATCTTAGAAAGTAGACCACAGACTCCTAACCACACAGCAAGACATTATCATCCTGATATTTCGATCAAAATCTCCAGTCAGAAACTGGCTCCAAACAAAGTCCCAAGCAAAGCGCATCTCTAGTCGAGCAGCAGCTCTGTATCAGACTGATTCCCCCCGATCAGCTAAGAAGGAGCAGCGAACTGCTCAACTTAAAGAGAAGTCAAGTATGTATGCCTTAATGTAGCTGAGAAGGCAACCAGTGAGGAGCCTACACAGACGAAGGTCAAATCCAGGCCCAAACCTTACTGTCCATATTGCGACAACCAAGACCAGGAAGTCAGTCCAGGAAACCCAGCAGAAGGCGTACATGGTTAGCCTACCTCCCACAAAGGTGTACTTGGACAGGCCCAACCGGTCCCTAAAGGTACTGCTGAAGGTAGTCAAAGTTCTGCTCCATAACAGCAGTCGGAGGATGGAGACTTATGCCAGTACTCAATGATGGGTCAGAGAGGAGCATCATCCTTCCTCAAGTGGTGCAACAGCTCGACCTCATTGGCCATCCGGGGACTCTCCCCCTGCAGACCGTGCACCAAAGCGTCAAGCAACTCAATGGTGCATCAGTCTCCCTGGAAGTATCATCAACGCTACGGCCGTTCGAGAAGTACCTGATATCCCATGCCTTCACCGCAGAGGGATTAGCTCTTGCTGAGCACACTTATCCGGTAGCCGTGCTGCAGCAGAAATATAAACACCTCAGAGGGCTTCCCCTACCACCGGTGAACCATGCTCAACCTCTACTTCTAATCGGATCAGATATGCCTCACCTAATTACCCCAATCCAACCAGTGCATGCAGGACCACCAGGAGGACCTGTTGCCATCTGCACTCAGCTGGGCTGGTCGCTTCAAGGGCCAGTGGATACTGTCCATCCCTTACCAAGAGCCCAACAAGCCTTGGCTTCCAGCGAGCTTCTCAGGAATGTGGAGCGTCTCTGGCAAATGGACACCTTGCCCTATAGTGAGAAGGTCACCACTCGCTCAAAGGAAGACCAGCAAGCCTTCACCCTGCTCCAGACGGCCACCACTAGAGTAACAGAAGATGGCATCACACACTACGCCACACCTCTTCTTCGCCGTACAACCAACATTACTCTCCATGCCCCTGCGGAGGCAGTACTTCCTCGACTTCGCAGCACAGAGCGAAAGCTTGTTAAGTACCCAACACAAGCAGAGTCTTACTGCACTGAAATCCGAAAGCTGGAGGAAGCGGGCTACGTCACGAAGATTTCACCAGGAGAAGCCGGCCAGTCATCAGAGTCGT